GATGAGAAGACTGAGGCAGATTAGGACTCAATCAAGGTAGATTAGGGGATAATTGCCAGAGTCCAGTATTTGAGCCATACCTAGTGGGCAGTTTAACCAACCTTGGCCCGTGCTGGTTGAATCTGATCAAAGGAGAGAACTGAGGCGCAAGGGCTTTCTACATCACAAAGAGGTGTCAGTGGCTGGCAGATTTTCAGTTTTCATAAATAATTAGTATTTTTTTAGTAGGGGAGTTGATATGGGTTGACAAGCAAGGATGCTGAAAAAATTATTTGCAAACGATCACTCTCGTTTCATAAAATATAGGACATTTTAACCTTCCGAAATATGGTAAGGAAAGCACAAGACCAGTTCTTCTGGGAAAAAGAGAGTGAAATTTTTACTCAATGTTATACACACTCATATCTTTAATTTTCTCATTTTACCCCAGGTAGGTGAAAATTTGGTTAAGATCGGGCACTGACCACTGGACCAGAACTTGGGGCGGAAAAAATGTAAGCCCTTTGGTATACTTTTCAAGATGTTCTTTTTAAAAAGAGAGAGAGAAAAGATATTCTAGACCCTATTTTAAGAAACACATTGCTAGATGGGAGGGGTTTCGGGGGCTGGGTGAAAAAGGTGAAGGGTTAAGAAGTACAAATTGGTAGTTACAAATAGTCATGGGAATGGGGAGTACAGCATAGGGAATATAGTCAATAATATTATAATAGCTATGTATAGTGCCAGGTGGGTGCTAGAATATTGGGGGGATGACTTCATAAATTATATAAATGTGTAACCACTATGCTGTACACCTGAAACTAATATAAAATAATAAATAAAAAAGAAAAAATGGGAAAAAAGCACTTTAAAAACTAAGTCAGCCCATGAAAAGGCTAGGAAATGTTCAGTTCAATTGCGAATTATTCCTGTAAAATAAAAACTTTAACAGATTTTTAAAGTAATTATTAGAATAAACATGAAATTATTAACAATTTCATGCATTCAAGAATCACTGAAATACTGCTAAAAAGCATACTTCTGGTTGGGAAGGGAAGATAAGTCAAGGGAAGTCTTCTAGAACATTCTGCTCCTGCCCCAGCACAGAACCTGGCACAGTGTGAGCCCCTGGTAAACTGAGTGAGGCACGGTGCCTCCCCCAGGCCCAGGTGCTCTAAATCTGCTCAGTGGCCTGACATCTGAGTACTTCCATCCATCCACCCTGTTAAGACTCGGGCTCCCCTTCCCAGGGGAGAGGGAGGTGCTCGCCCAGGCACAAGCCAGGGAAGCTGTCAACACAGGAATCTGGGGAAGTGACAGGAGCCAGCCTCTCCCCCCTGGGCTGGAGGGAGGAGGAAGATAAACACAAACGGTCTTTGATCCCTGTTACCATTGGTTACACCAATCTGGGCAGTGTTTTTATGGGAGTGAGAACTAAATTCCAGCCACTGCTCTTCCATGAATTTGGACAAATCTCTTCCCTCCTCTGAGTTCCTGCTTCCTCCTTTGTGAAGTGGAGGCAAGGAGGTCTCATTTAATCCATGGCATCCAGAAACTAGACTTAAAGGGGGTGATCACTTTACAGACTGGAACAGTGTGATCAAGAACTCTGGGTCACCCACACCTGGATTCAGATTCTAAATCCAACACTGTATGACTCTATGACCTCTCCGAGCCTTGGTTTCCTCCCGAGGTTTTTTTAAGGTTTTGATAAGATAACACACTTATAATGCCTGGCATATTCTAAAAGCTTAAACATTGTGTAAGCTTATTACTTTATGTTTGAGAAGCATGGCGAGAACAAAGACTCCACTGTGCCTTGGTAGATCTCTTAGGCTGCCCTTGGCCTTGGGTTGCCTGAAATAAGATCATAAAGCTCATGAAAAATTCTCTTCTCCCAAAGACCAACCGCAGAAAGCTGAAAACCTCTCCTCCACCAACAGCTTCCAGACCATGCGCAGGATGTGGCCTGCACGTGAGCCCCCAGATCCTGACAAACCCACCTCCAGCATCACTCCTTTGGAATGACATTCTAGGCTCATCACAGTTTGTCCTCAGTCTATCATCTTCTTCCTCATTTTTTTAATTGAGGTAAAATTGGTATACAACATTATATAGGTTTCAGGTATACAACATTAAATTTTGATATTTGTATACGTCACACAGTGATCACCCCCATAAGTCTAGTTTTCATCCCTTACCATACAATTGATTCCCTTCACCCATTTTGCCCTCCTTCCAGCCCCCTTCTCCTCTACTAACCATCAGTCTGTTCTCTTTATCTATGAGTTTGTTTTTGTTTTATTTATTTTGTTTGTTTTGTTTTTAGATTCCACATATCGATAAAATTATTCGGTATTTGTCTTTCTCTGTATGACTTATTTTACTTAGCATAATACCTTCAAGGTCCATCTATGTTGTTGCAAATAGCAAGATTTCTTTCTTTCTTTATTAATGGCCAGGTAGTATTCTATTATATATACACCACATTTTCTTTATCCACTCATCCATTGAATATCTTAGCTATTGTAAATATCTTAGCTATTGTAGATAGTGCTACAATAAACCTAGGGTATGGATATCTTTTCAAATTAATGTTTTTGTATTCTTTGGATAAATACCCATAAGTGGAATAGCTAGATCATTTGGTAGTTCTATTCTTAATTTTTTGAGGAATCTCCATACTGTTTTCCAAAGTGGCTGTACCAATTTATGATCCCACCATGAACAGTGTGTGAGGGCTCTATTTTCTTTTTGATAACAGCAATTCTAACAGGTATGAAGTGACATCTCCTTGTGGTTTTGATTTGCATTTCCCTAATAATCAGCGATGCTGAAAATCTTGTTGGCCATCTGTATGTCTTCTTTGGAAAAATGTCTATTCAGATCTTCTGCTCGTTTTTTAATTGGGGTATTTGTATTGTTATTGTTGAGTTGTATGAATTTTTTATATATTATGGACCATATTTTCTTAACATTTAAATATTCATAAATACCTTTTTCCTATTATAGTAGTGTAAATAATATATATATTTATCAGAATATTATGTACGCTTTCTTATATCTTACTTGTACAAATATATTATGAGCATTTACCACATGGTATTAAATATTCTGTAAAAATATTAATGTTAATGACTCAAGTATTATAATATCCTTATGGATGAATTTTATCATTTAATCAATAATCTACTATTGAGTATTTAGATTATTTCCACTTTTTAATTTCCAAATTATGGTTTAGTTAACATATTGACTTATAAGATTTTTTTGAACACATCTAAAATTACTGGTTCTACCCTCCAAAAAGGTTCTACCAATGAACTCTTCCACCAACAGCACACAAGAAGGCCAGATTCATGGCAACTTTGCCAACATGGAATAGTATCACTTTTTTAAAAATGTGGGCATATTTGCTAGGTCAAAAACAAACCAAAACAACCCATTGTACTCCCGGCCCAGGCACACACATCCATGTGTCCAAGACCACCCCAGCATGACATGTGGGTAAACCTCAGAGATATCATGGGTTCAGTTTCAAACCACCACAATAAAGTGAGTCTTGGTGGAGGGTCTTGCCTTCAACTTGTAAAACATGCAACATCTGTGAAACGTAATATAGCGCAGTGCAATAAAATGAGGTGTACCTGGACAGTCAACAATTCCTACGGCCTCCAGGCCCAGCTCAAATACCATTTCTCCTCAGTCTCTCCCCAGGGCCGAGTTGGTTCTTGTTCACGCTAATCTCCTATTCAGACACGCATGTGAGGACCTACCTGGTTACGTGTTTCTAGTCTAAGGGGCTCCTTGAGGACAGGGGCTGTTTGTGAAATCCGCTGTGGATTTGCCCCAGTATCTGCTGTGATGCCCAGAGTAGTAATTGTAGGAACACGGCCTACGGGCCTGCTGAATTAGAACACATGGAGTGCTTGCTTAACACAACTCCCCAGACCCAGTTCTAGACCTACAGAACTCGAGGCGAGTGTGTGTGTTGAGCAGCTCCAATTTGCAACCTCTAGTTGACTCTGATGCTCGCAAAAGCCTGAGGACACACTGCCCAGAACTGAGTAGGAATTGATAAGCAGCTCCTACGTGGAAAATCCCCAGGTTGGGCGCTGGCTGCTCCCTCCTCAGAGGTCATGGAGCAGAGTTCACCCTGCGGAGGGAGAGGACAGGAGCAAGAGGGTGACATAGGAATTTCTCTTCCAAAAGTAGAGGCTGGGGAGGCCTAGGACTGGGGTGGGACATCCAGACTGAGCGCTGGCAGAGGAATGGCAGCTTCCTGAGACAATGGAAACTTGGGAGAAGGGAGCTACAGAGGTGGC